CAGAATATGTATTTCTATTGGCGCTATAACAACAAATAATAAAAATAAAAATTAAGTAATAATTAAATGGGGCTCTCCTACTAGAAACGTGTTTTACGATGGTACAAAACCCTTCATGCGCTAGTCCAACTCGCACTGGACCGATCATTTTGTTTAGTTAATCTATTTAATATTTTAGGCATATAATTATTAAAAAAAAGTTACCCCTACACCTGGATTTTCTCCTGTATCATGGAAACAGTTCACATAAATTAACATTTGAACATTTTTTTCTATCATAGCAGGTGTTTATTTATTTATAAGAAGTAGGTATTACTGTTATGTATGTATGTTAGTATTTCATAACACAATCTATGCTCTGTGAACCCTGTACTAGGTAAACCTGTCTTACAGGGTTCCAGACCTTCCATATTGTAATGGTAGACAATGGTACATAATACATTTACAACCAAACTACATGAATAATTAACACCGTTAGAAACAAATAGAGTATGGAAAATACACTCAAATCTATATAGTACAAAATATGACAAAAACAATGGGTAACGGATAAAATTTGCTAAAGCTTATTTGTTAGACGTGAGTTATGTATGAAGAACAACAAGATTGGCAGGTGGTTAGGTGTTTTTATTTCATGTTTTGAAAGTGTAGATATGTATATCTAATGGGATATTATATTAAGTAACAGAAATCTGAATTACAGTATTTAATTTTCTTATTTTGCTTATTTTACTGGCTTATTTTACTGTCGTCAACACATTTTCGGTCTGTTCGTAATCTAGCGACAATAACCAGGCGTGTACCTTTTTTTACACAAGTAATAATTCAGTGGAAAAATGTCCAGTTCTCTGTGTAATTTGTAGTACAGATGTGGGCCAAGGAAGCATTGAAAATGATGAGAGAAAGCAGTGTTAAATTTAGAAACCGGACATATATTATGAGCTCTTCTTTTTATTTTATATAGTTTTGAATCAAATAAAGTAGATTTATGTTGCCTGAGATTACAACTTAATACCTACAAAAAGTTGACGAACTGTTAATAATTGACAGACAGAGTAGAGATGTTTAGTAGGGAACCGAAATGATATATAGGCCATTTTTTTTTATTCAATATTGATTATTTCATAATACTTATTGAAAGTAATTTTTTATTTACCACTGGTTCGGAAAATACCTCTGTCCTGGGAAGAACCAGCAAGAAACCCAGCGAGACTTTTTTTTAAACATAATTTCACTTAGCAATAATTTTGTTTATACAATTTTAAATGAATTTTCATAGAATCAGCATGGTGGCGATCACCTTATTCCCAGGGGTTATTTTCATTGATGTATTCCTTGATATTATAATAAACCTTTTTGTACAGTTTTTCTTTAATAAAACTTTTAAACTTTTTTATTGACAAACTTTGAACAAGTTCTGGGATTTTGTTGTAAAAGCGTATACATTGCCCCATAAATCTGTAATTCTAATATATTCTTGAAAAAGCAAGCCCAGGGGACTAAATAAAGGGTTCTGAAGCCAAATTAGTAGTTTTTAGAATTTTTGTCTGTCTGTCTTTCTGTGTCTGTCTGTCTGTGTATTCCGGATTCACGCAAAAACTACTGAACCGATTTACATGAAATTTTGTATGTAGGTAGTCAGTATCTAGTAATCCGGGGCAACTTATATATTTTTATCCGATTACGGAACTTCATAAAAGGAAGGTTAAGTATATTAATTTCCTTTAGATGTTAATTTTCGCGGCGGAATGACGGGTGTTATTCAAATAAATACCATATTTGTAAATAAAGTTTAAAATATAGTTATAATCTTGGTAAAATAATTTGAAACTACACCGATTTCGTATTCAAAACAGCGTCATCTGTCATCAAATGGAAAAAGTTGTATATTTTGCCTTCAGTTACTAATAAATGAAATAATATAAATTAAATAACTTACATTTATATGTTGACATGACAAACAACATTGATTAAGTTATTAGATTTTTAAAATTATTAAAAAATTGTAACGTTCAGTTTATTAGTATTTTTGTTATTTTATTTTAAAAGTGTAATAATTTCCCCGGTCGAGCCGACCCATTCGTGCTACAACTATACTATTAATATAGCTGCATTAAGTATTCATTACAATATGGAAGGTCTGGAACCCTGTAAGACAGGTTTACCTAGTACAGGGTTCACAGAGCATAGATTGTGTTATGAAATACTAACATACATACATAACAGTAATACCTACTTCTTATAAATAAATAAACACCTGCTATGATAGAAAAAAATGTTCAAATGTTAATTTATGTGAACTGTTTCCATGATACAGGAGAAAATCCAGGTGTAGGGGTAACTTTTTTTTAATAATTATATGCCTAAAATATTAAATAGATTAACTAAACAAAATGATCGGTCCAGTGCGAGTTGGACTAGCGCATGAAGGGTTTTGTACCATCGTAAAACACGTTTCTAGTAGGAGAGCCCCATTTAATTATTACTTAATTTTTATTTTTATTATTTGTTGTTATAGCGCCAATAGAAATACATATTCTGTGAAAATTTCAACTATCTACCTATTACGGATCATGACATAAGCTCGGTGACAGACAGACAGACGGACGGACAGCGGAGGCTTAGTAATAGGGTCCCGTTGGTTACCCTTCGGTTACGGAACCCTAAAAACCTGTTGATCCAAACAGTTTGCTTCGTCTTTTGTAATGCGTACAGCAAAGGAGTGGAATAATTTGCCGGCGTCTCACTTTCCGTTCGAATACACTCTGGACAAGGCAAGAGTGAATAGGCTTTTGTTACGCTAAGACAGTGCGATTTACCATCTAGGGCAATACCACACCACCAGGTGGGATTATGGTCAAGCACTCGTTTATAATAAGTAAAAAGACATCTATAATAGTGGTCTTTAGGCAAGGAGTTCATTGTTTTTGGACAATGAGGATAACGAGTACACAGTCCACATGATGGTAAGCGGATGCTGTGATGCTGAGGACTAAGATGGAATGCCTTTTTGCCAGTAAAAGGGGTCTCCGGTTCTCTTCACTCACCAAACGAAACACAGCAGCATTAGGCTGCTATTTTACGCTGGTATTCTGTGAGAGCGTGGTCCTTCCCCGGTCGAGCCGACCCATTCGTGCTACAACTACTATTGATATAGCTGTAGCATGGCTCTACCACGTAATCTGTTGATCAATTCCGGCCGTTTTTTTCTCGATTTCTTTGTTGAGTCTCAATAGTAGTTGGTAGTAGAGATCCGAATTGATGGTTTTGCCCGGCGGTAAAAGCTCACAATAAACGATGCCCTTCCAATCCCACTATACACACAGCATCACCTTATTGCGTCTTAATCCGGGTTTCGCTACGGCTGTGGAGCTTGACTACCCTTTGACCATGACCTTTTTCGCACGTTCTTGTCGTAGGTGATCTATTTTTATCACCAGTGATTAATATTTTCAAATATAGTTCGGTTTCATTACGTTTCAATAGAGAATCGCAAATGAGTACACGATTCATTAGGTTTCTTTCAGTGAGTTTTTTTCAAAAATGGCATCAACTTTATCCGTATGAGGACCACCAGAGCGAACTGAATCTTTGGCATCAAAATTCCCGGACTGAAAACGCTTGAACCAACTTTTTGCTACTCTTAGTGACACTGCATTAGTTTCATAAACGTCACAAATTTTTTTCGCGGCTTGAGTTGCATTTTTTCCTTTTTGTAATAAAACTTCAGAATGTATCGAATTTCTTCGTTAGATGCACTCATTTCGGCGGACAGAAAAACAATTGTAAATGGCGGGAAAGTGTTTTATACTTTTTACATTTCTTTTTCTTATTACCCTATATGTATTGATATTAAGACCAGCCATATACAAACAATACAACCTTGGAGATTTTTCTTCAATTTTATACAAACAAAATACGAAGAAACCTTTCCCCCGACCTAATATTATACATGTAAGGTTAAGCCTGCGAGAGAATGAGATAGAATACAGTATAATATAGTATTTCCCATTATCTCGGTCTCTTCTTCTGTAGGTTCCATTTCTACCGCGTGTCTTCTGCGCCCATGTTTATTTTTTTTAAGAAAATGAAATGAAATGCATCAGTTAAGTTAACACGTATATCAATGAAACACTAAAAATAAAATCAAAACAAAACAACGATACAACTTTATCTGAAACCGTTTCCGCAATAGGGTAGATGAAGCTGATATCAATTGAAATAATGGCTGCAGCACTAATGAACAGAATAGAATAGAAACATTTTTATTCAATATAGATTACAACAATACCTACTTATTGAAAGTCATTTAAGCTTTATCACTGGTGCGGAAAAAATCTCTGTCCTGGGAAGAACCAGCAAAAAACATCCATAATATATAGTCCATTTATAATATAACATCTTATACAATTGTTATGAAAACATTTAGAAACAGCATGGTAGCGATTACCTCATTCCCAGGGGTTATTATCAATCATGAACTCTTTTGTAGTATAATAACTCTAACTAAACAATTTTTTCTTAATAAAAAATTTAAACTTTTTGATGATTCAGCACGACTGGGGGAAGGACCACGCTCGCAGAGTTCCAGTCTGTAATAGTTATAAATAGTGATGATGATGATGATGATAATAATGAACTTGATTTTGGTTGTGCACCATTACTTTAATAATAAATAACTTTAAGCTACAATTCCTTGTGTTATTTCACACTAAGGCCTTTCACAACAAAAATATGCACAAGGCGAAATCATTATTGTGGGAGGGATTTTATTAGGGTATTAATAATTTATTATTAATTCAATAGATAAGAAATTGTTCAAAATTCCAAGTTCATACAGCATAAATTTGCAACTATCGATTTCAAGTTCTATGAGAATGATAATCGAATACATACATTCATCGACTATTATACACCACCCCATCCCTACAGGAAGCTGTCAAAATTTTCAAGCTACTTGACAGATTGATGTTTTTGATTTTTTCCCTATTTAACATTGTAGTCTTTGTTGATTTTTGAAAACATCGGTTTCGGTTTTTTATTATATCCTATAATATGTATATTAGTAAAATAAAAGCTATATTATTAAATAGAAATGGCCTTTAGTGATATTTGTAGAATTTGTTTAAGCGTTAATGTACGCATGTATGTGCTAAAGAATATTGGCCTCCTATATATAAAACATTGACAAACAATTGTTTTGTAAGTTTTACAAATTGAATTTCAAATAATAGAGTGAGTCGGTAATTTGTTGTTATCGCTGAAGAAATATATCATAACTTGCCTGATATAAAATGCGTTAGATCGGGGTTAGGCTAAGCACCTTAGTGCAGTGTTAATTATAGTGACAAATACAACCACAACCTGAAAAACAACAATTAGCCTGGAATCCTATGTCGCACTAAAATCAGTATTATCTTTGAAGTATTATGTACTACATACTAGAAGAAACACCGAGACTCGGTTGTTTTTGCAACACGTGTTAGAAAGCCGCGGGCTCAAACTTTGAGTCTGTGCCATAAAAAGCTACCCTTTGCCTTCTTCCACGCGGCCCGCACAGCTCCATAGATTTTGTTCGCGGTGTCTGTTGACTCACTGAATAAATATGTATGTAATTTTGCGATTTTTTGTCAAGAAATTAACATCCACCCTGGTTTGGTCTTTCACCCACTTAAAGCCGTTCTATTGGACTATTAAAGTGGAATAATATAGTGCAAATGTGCTTACAGACACAGAAATTCCATCACTCTCATATTCCTATCAGACTGAGAAATCAGAAGAGGAAATTATGTGCACATATACTTGCTCACACACATGCAATATAATCCTGTCCTATGCTGATAAATAGTCTCTGTTGTGACCACAATTCTGTCTGTACGACATTATTATCATTATTTTATATGTGGTAGAGCCAGGCTCCAGCTATATTATGGTTGTATAACAGGTGGAGTGGCTCAATCAGGGTGGTACAATGCTCTCACAGAAGACCAGCGTGAAATAGCAGCATAATGCTCCTGCGTTTCGTATGCTGAGTGTAGACAACTGGAGACCTTTTTTACTGGAAACGAGGCATTCCATATTAGCCATCATGGGTGACAACGCATCTGCATTTTGATTGTTAATAGAGGATAAATTTAGATTTCTAAGTAGGTACCACAGCATTCACTTACCATAGAAACTTTTCAAAATCTCCATTGAACCTTCTCCAGTAACCTTATATAATGTGGAATGTATATTCCAAATTAGGTTGAAAATAATATATTTTAATTATAATATCTAGTACTATTATTATCTGTCGTAATTGCCACACTAGGAAGGGGTTGGCTTATGTAGTTTTTTATTATTTTGACCTGTTATGAGGAAAATAATGCATCCCATTTCCATAGAAGATAAAAGAATGTGATTGTTAGATGTTTAAATTCATCTGGAACTTACTTCATACTGTAATTGATTTAAAAACAAAAAGGTTAAAACTGCTAGGGCATGTTTATTGTTATTAACTTCCATTTGAAACTAGATGACAGTGGCCTAATAGTTAAGGGTGGGGACTGCAAATTCAAGAAAGTAGTAAGTTCAAGTCTGCCATTTGATTATTGTTATAAATTACTCCTAGTGTAAGCATTTTCAGTTTACTTGCACAAATAAGAGAATTTGTAATGTTAATAGTGATGTTAGTAGTTTGAAGTTATTATTTAAAAGTATGTTTAGTAGGATTAAATTTTGAAAGCCCCAACATGATAATACCTCTGTCAGGTTCACTTAAGTCTGAATCGACTGCTTTTAAAATTATATCTGTTAATGTCAAAGAGACTCCTATGTCCTTGACACTAAAAACATTTTTATCATTAGAGAATTGTGTCCTTATAGTTTGCAGAACTAACAACAGATGGGAAACATAATCTCGAATGGTAGTCTTATGCTGGTAAGCCAATTCTAGAGTGGCCCTCCACTAAATAATGGCAACCTGTTAAGACAGGAAGTCAATGGATGTAGGTGACTTAGGACTGTGTTGTTGCAGTGATGATGATTCACTATGTGATAGGACTTTTTTCTGCTTAAAATCAGTCTGGGTAGATATCATCCTCTTATCTATTTCTGCCACCAAGCAGCTGTATGTGTCCCAGTGTGAAGGACATTGAGAGCCAGTATAATAACAGGCTGTGATGCATTACATCTTAATCTTCAGAGGTACTATTGCATCTATAGCCTTTGCTTGAAGTTCGTTGTAGCTGCCCATGGACTGCAGTAGACACTTACCATCAGGTGAATTGTAAGTTTGTTTATCACTTAATGAATTGACTAAATCAAATCAAGAAGTTGCAGCGGTGTTTGAGAAATATTTCACTGATGATCTTGACAACAGAGTCATTGAATACTTCTCCAACTGTCGCCGAGTCATTACTTAAATAGAATATTAATAACTGTTTAAAAGAATTTAGATTTGAAAAAGTATTACCGCATAATATTGTAAAATACTACATAACCATTGATGTAAAGAAAACTGCAGATTTGTGGGGGATTTCTGTTAGAGTTATTGCGTCCGTAATAGATTTAATTGCACCTCATCTTGCTATTATTCACACACACCTCATATTAAAGTATAGTAAAGTAATACCTTTATTTAAATTTGGTAGTACATTGGACCCCGCTAATTATATACCTATTTCTGTACTATCAACTCAGTAAAATTTTTGAAAAACTAATTTAGGATCAATTGTTAACTTTTTTTAATACAAATAAATTACTTCATAAAAACCAATTTGGTATTACAAGGGGTCGCTCGACGTCTGACACCGGTGTTGAGCTTATGAAATATATTTTTAATGCCTGGGAGAATTCACAAGATGCCTTAGGTATTTTCTGTGACCTTTACAAGGCTTTCGATTGTGTTCATCATAAGACATTAATCAGGAAACTACAACATTACAGTGTAAAAAATTTGGTGCTTGGACTTATTACTTTATATTTAAGTAACAGAACTCAAAAAGTCTTGATCAATGGTAAAGGTTCCTCAGGATCGGTAGTATCAATGAGCGTTCCTCAGGGCTCGATTCTTGCCCGATTCCTGTTCTTAATCTATATTAATGATTTACCTTATCTTGTAGGGGACAATCATATAGTATTATTTTCTGACAATACCACTTTAATTTTCAAACTCAAACGGCAGTCAATTAATTATGACGACGTAAATAATGCTCTATCGAAAGTAGTTACTTTCATAGCGTAATGTCTTATGGAAATTTGCTATGGGGTAATGCGACTGATATTGAAGCTAAAAAGAATTATAACTTCGCCTCCAGGTCCTTCAAAAGAGTTATTGCCATGGCAAAGTCAGAGCACATAGGCAGAATTGGTGAGAAACTAGTTCGCCTTCCTTTGAATTTCTGTAAGCCTTCACTACCATCTCTGCACAGGGAGGACGACTCATTGGCCCATGCCGCAAAAGAGAAAGCCGACCTTTTAGGCTCCCTTTTTGCGTCCAACTCGACTGTTGATGACGGGGGGAACCATCCCGCGGTGTGAGTACTCCATGCCGGATGTGCGGTTCTCACAGCGTTCGGTTCGCAGAGCACTCCTCTCCCTTGACATCCACAAGTCGTGTGGGCCTGACGGAATCCCCCCAATTGTGCTGAGGACGTGTGCTCCGGAGTTGGCACCGGTTCTAACGCGTCTTTTCCGGTAATCCTACTCCCTAGGCGTAGTACCGAAATCATGGAAGACAGCTTTTGTCCACCAGATCCCTAAAAAAGGCGACCGCTCAGACCCGTCCATCTACAGGCCTATCGCCATCACCTCCTTGTTCTCCAAAATAATGGAATCCGTTATAAACCGCCACCTCATGCGGTACCTTGAGGATCACCAGCTGATTAGTGACCGCCAATACGGTTTTCGTCGGGGTCGATCAGCTGGTGATCTTCTGGTCTACTTAACTCATAGATGGGCGGAGGCAGTAGAGTCGAAGCGGGAGGCATTGGCCGTTAGTTTGGACATTGCGAAGGCCTTTGATCGGGTTTGGCACAACGCGCTTCTTTCGAAGGTCCCTTCCTATGGGCTTCCCGAGAAATTGTGCAATTGGATTACCAGCTTTCTTGCAGATCGGAGCATCGAGGTCGTTGTAGACGGTGCATGCTCCGACTACAAGCCAATTAACGCTGGTGTTCCACAAGGCTGCGTACTATCACCAGCGCTGTTTCTTCTGCATATCAATGATATGTTGCAAACCGGTAGCATTCATTGCGATGCGGATGACAGCACTGGTGATGCTCTATACACCGGCCGTGCCAATATTTCTCGGGAAAACGTCGCCGAGTACCGGAACAAACTTGTGTCTGAAGTCGAGTCTTTGCTGAACAAAGTCTCGGATTGGGGGCGACTAAATCTAGTCCAGTTTAATCCTCAGAAGACACAAGTTTGCGCGTTTACCGCTAAAAAAAACCCCTTTGTCATATCTCCTCAGTTTCAAGGCACTCCCCTTGTTGCCTCAGCCAGTATCGGAATCCTCGGCGTCGACATATCGAGTGACGTGCAGTTTCGTGGTCACTTGGAAGGCCAAGGCCAAATTTGCCTCTAAAAAGCTTGGCGTGCTCAGCAGAGCGGGACAGTATTTCATGTCGGCACACCGTCTGCAAATATACAAGGCGCAGGGTCAGTCGCACATGGAATACTGTTCCCATCTCTGGGCTGGGGCTCCCCAGTGCCAGCACCTTCCACTTGACCGCACCCAGCGCAGAGCGGTTCGAATCGTCGACGACCGAGTCCTTTCCGATCGCCTCTATTCATTGGCGCTGCGAAGAGATGTTGCATCTCTTTGCATTTTCTTTCGCATTTACCACGGGGAGTGCTCTGAGGAATTATTCGGATAAATCCCAGTAGTCAAATTTCACGAACGCATATCGCGGCAGAACTCCCGATACCATCCACACCATCTGGATGATTGGCGGTCCACCAGTGTGCGATTTAGAAGTTTTCTTCCTCGCACAACTTCCTTGTGGAATAGTTTACCACCAGCGATATTTCCGGACCGATACGACTAAGGGACCTTCACGGAAAAGAGCCTACTCCTTTTTCAAAGGCCGGCAACGCATCTGCAATTCCCCTGGTTACCCTGGTGTTGCGGTTGTTCATGGGCGGCGGTAGTCACTTACCATCAGGTGAGCCGCATGCTCGTTTTCCCCCTCTCCTATAAAAACAAGCTATATTTATTTTGCAAAAAGAGAGCCGTACGGGCGATTTATAACCTAAATTGTAAAGAGTCCCTCAGAGAAAAATTTAAAGAAATAAACATATTAACTTTGGCATCGCAATATATTTACGAAAATGTAATGTATGTACATAAAAACATAAATAGCTATAATAAGAATAAGGATGTTCATACCTTAAACACTAGGAACAAACATAAGCTTGTAATGCCAGTTACTAGACTCCACAGAATTAGTAATTCATTTATGGGGCAATGTATACGCTTTTACAACAAAATCCCAGAACATGTTCAAAGTTTGTCAATAAACAAGTTTAAAAGTTTTACTAAAGAAAAATTGTACAGAAAGGGTTATTATAATATCAATAAATACATGAATGAAAACCCCTGGGAATAAGTTGATCGCCACCATGCTGGTTCTATGAAAATTCATTTAAAATTGTATAAACAAAATTCATGTTAAGTGAAATTATGTTTAAAAAAATTCCCGCTGGGTTTCTTGCTGGTTCTTCCCAGGACAGAGGTATTTTCTGAACCAGCGGTAAATAAAAAATGACTTTCAATAAGTATTATGTAATAATCAATATTCTATTCTATTCAATGTTATAAAAAAATTATGTTGATGAAGAGAATTGTGGTAGCCAATAGATTTTATTACAAACTTGTATATTTAAGTAGTTTTTCAAATTTATTATTAATTTTCAGATGGATGAGAATGAGGGGCCCACAATTGTCTGTTTCACCTGTCATGCAAGACTAATTCGCTGCAGGAGATTACAACAACAGGCTATTGAAGCAAATGCAGTTCTGGAGCAGTTGCTTGAAGGAGGGTCCACGGTATTATGCATTCCATTCATTCAATGCATCATTCATACAGTCCACTGCTGAACATAGGCCTCCCACATAGATTGCTTCATAGGAGTGATTTTGCGAAATTTGCCATGCATGTTTTTTTTTTTACGGTATTCGTGAATCTGATTCGAAAAATTGTTGAGATTCGATTCTCGGGATGGATGAACTATTTACATTCTTATTTAAGTTTATCGGAACCCTCACTTTTGTCCACGTTTTATTATTATTTGGAGTTGTCAGGAAGGTGCTGCTACCCATCTCTTTTTTCACTTTCCCTCTGTCCCTTTTTACGACATCTTCGGGATGGTATGGGGTAGTATCTCATGTAACATACACACTAAAAAGCAAATAACTAAATAGATAAATATGGATTCTTCTATGCCACTACTACACTGGCTTTTTTCACTTATTTAAAGAAAGAATTTGGTTTCAGTCAATACCAAAACCGCATGAGGGTAGAGATGAGATTAAATTCACACCAATTTGTCATATAGATATCTGGCCAGTAGAGTGTGATATAGGAAATGATTGCAAGGACGAAATATTTAGCCTTGATTCCATTAAAATTGAAGAAGAGAATTTCGAAAATGAGAATTCCAAATTTGAACGTAATGGGAATTGTGAAACAGGTAAGATATACACATATTGTGATATTATTAAAATAAGGTACAGTCTACTTAATGGCAAGTGGTTACTGTAGATCATTGACACAAAATAAAGAGGGCTTCATGTGTAATGTACTGTTTTACTTATTTGCCTTTGCCTAAATTGAAAGTGCATGGAAAAAGCACTCTTATGAGCGTATATGTAAGTATGCGCAGTCAAAATTTACACGATCATCTAGAACGACGTGATATTGACGTACACTACAATGTTGTTTCTGTGTGCGTGACTGTTCGAACGCAAGACTAGTTGCACTTAGTTGCATGAATCATTTTGATACTATTGGTTGTCAATTCTTCGAGCTATATGGCTAGCCCATTGCCACTAACCTGTGTGATGGACTGTAATGATCTGTTTGCTTTAAAAAAAATACAGTTTTTATTTTATATATTGAGTCAGCAGCATCTGTTTCATTCTAGACCCTGCTGGAAAAGGAGAAGACTTGAAGATTGATGCTTTTGGAGATATACACATGGATTCGGGGAACGACTTGGCACTAATTGCATTTGAGTCAAAGAGTAAAGAGAATTCTAAGACTATAAAATTAAAAAAGGAGCGCGAAAATAATAAAAAAGATGATGATGACATAGGTAAAAGAATTTATTTAAAAAAACCTGTATCAAAAAATAAAAAATAAACTGCATGAGAAATTTCTCCTGGATCGTGTAGTTGGAGATTGTACACACAATTTTTATCGTGGTAGAGCCATGCTGCAGCTATATTAGTAGTATAGTTGTAGCACGAATGGGTCGGCTCGACCGGGAAAGGACCACGCTCTCACAGAATACCAGCGTCAAATAGCAGCTTAACACTGCTGTGTTTCGTATGGTGAGTGTAGAGAACCGGAGACCCTTTTTACTGGAAAAGAGGCGTTCCATCTTAGTCCTCACGGGTGACGACGCATCTGCATTTTGATTCGCAAACGAGGATAAATGTAGATGTCTATGAGCCACAGCAACCACTTACCATCAGGTGGACTGTGTGCTCGTTTGTCACCCTATCCTATAAAAAAAAACAAAATGTTGTCCTTTAATTACGCATGAACAAACATTAGAATTTAGAACCAAAATTATTATTTACATGTGGGCCATACAACTATCTTGTTTCATGCAGGAACTGAATTCGCCAGTGGTGACCCAAGGTGTTATTAAGATAAAGCAGGACCACCGAACCGGAAATGCAGCGTGATGCTGCTGTGTTTCGAATTTTAAGTGTAGAGAACTGGAGACCGTTTTTTAATACTACTGAAGTATTCCATCATAGTGCTCTACATTTTGATTCTTAATGGGATGTAAATGTCGTTGGTTACAGCATCCACTTACCATCAGGTGGTCTGTGTGCCCGTTTGTCATCCATAGTCTATAAAACACCTATATACGAGGGTGCGTTTTTAAGTTCGCGGAATGGGTAGGTAGGTAATAAGTGGGGACGTCGCTGAATTACGTGCTAATTGAACAACACATTATTAGTGTAAATACCGAGTTTTATTGTAATTAGATGATAAAGCGTCCCCCACACAGAAGCGGCTTGCGGTGGCGGCCAGTTGAATTTGCTTGCAATGTACGAGAGTCCGCTAACCCGTGCGGCCATGGCGCGGCCGCATGCCCCGCCCCCTCCGCACCGCGTGTGTGTTTTATTGCAATTGGATTGAATTGTAGATTACAATTGGACGGAAAGACAATCCACGATGATGATGAACTTTATATAAACCGAAGTAAAAGTATCCATGTGTTAATTCAGGACATGATCTATCTATGTGCCAATTTTAATTTAAATCCGTATAGATACATGAATATTATCATCTAATATATAAAAAATAATGTATGTTTGTTCGTACTTTGTGCGCAGTCATACCGTTCATCAGATTGCGGTAAAACTTTATCAACTTATTGCTTGCACTTGCGCAAAGGTTATAGACATGTGCAATTAAATTACAGTAGGTGGCGTGCGTATCGTGCCGACATATTTATATTTAATGTAATTATATTACGACATATTTAATGTAATTATAACATGGTCAGAAGAACGTCATCATTATCATTCGAATTTAGATACTCTACCAAGTATTTCCCTCCAAAAATGAATATGAGTGACATTAGTCAGAATAATTGGCCGAAATTCTTTTCATCTAGCAACATTATATGACTATAATTACGCGAAATATTATAATTTCAGCCAATCCATAAGGCTTAAACTCCGCGCATTGTAAACCGTTTATGGTTGGTGAAATATGCAATGTCTTACAATAAATAAAATGTTTAATTTTTATGTATTTCAGAACAATACATCACACCGTCAAATAATTTTTCAGAACCGTCTGAGAAAAATATTAAATCAAATTCTACTGATAGAAACATAAACGATGTACATGAAAAATACCTCGATTTTGAAAGCTCTACTATTAAATCAAACCCTAAACTGAAAAATCCTGCAAAGATTATGAAAAAGAAAAATTTGAAACAAAAGAGTGTAAATATACTTACGAAAAAAACATCAACAAAATACATTTTTGAATGTGATGGTTGTAGCAAAAAGTTTTCAACAAAACACATTCTCGCCAAACATATATCATACAGTGATAAGACGCAAAAGAACTCGGACACCACTGCAGTTCGGACACAAGTTGAACAAACTCCAGTACCGCAACTAACGGAAATATTTAATTATGATATTTGCGAATTTAAAACGTCTCAAAAACGTCAAGTGTACTGCTGTAATAATTGTGATTATAAATGTACAAATAAAAGCAAATTGCTATACCATATGAAATTACATACCGTAGAAAAACCTTTTTCGTGTAATATCTGTGACTATCAATTTATACAAAAATCTAATTTGAGAAGACACATAAAAATACACACTGGAGAAAAACCCTTTTCGTGTAATATCTGTGAATATAAATGTATTAGAAAAGGTACTTTGCACAGGCATATGAAAACACATACCGGAGAAAAATCTTTTTCGTGTAATATCTGCGAATACAAATGTACAAGAAATACTGATTTGAAACAACACATGAAAATACACGCTGGAGAAAAACCTTTTTCTTGTAATACCTGTGAATATAAATGTGTTACAAAATGTAATTTGCAAAGACATATGAAAATACACACTGGAGAAAAACCTTTTTCGTGTCATATCTGTGAATATAAATGTATTCTAGAAGCTAATTTGAGAAGGCACATAAAAATACATACCGGAGAAAAACCATTTTCGTGTCATATCTGTGAATATAAATGTCTTACTAATAGTCGTTTGCAAACACATATAAAAATACACACCGGAGAAAAACCTTTTTCGTGTAATATCTGTGAATATAGATGTATTAGAAAAAGTCATTTGCAAACGCATATGAAAATACATACCAGAGATAAACCTTTTTCATGTAATATCTGTGAATATAGATGTATTAAAAAACGTGATTTGCAAAAGCATATGAAAATACACACAGGAGCAAAACCTTTATCGTGAGCTATCTGGTAAAATATGTTATGTAAACATGTTTTGTATAAATATATGTGTTCGAGATAAAAATCTAGTCTTTTTACGAATTTCTTATGTAATCATAGAACGAGTAGAAAAACTTTTTCGTGCCTTATGCGCTAATTGAAACTGTATTTATTCAGAAGAAGTCAATTCGAAAACCAAGAAAAAAAAAATGGAACCTTTTAATGAACTAAATGGGAGGTCAGTGAAAACAGACCAGATCTTGTTTTTTTTTTTTAAATTTAAATGATAGCTTATGTTTTGTTTTATTTTCGTTTCGACGTTTATCGTTACCGTAACAGCCTATAACAGTACTCTGATGAACATAGACTTCCCCCTTGCAGTTGCCTCATAAGAGAGATATTTGCCACAGATACCATGCGGTTTTTTATTATATTCAGTTATAATCAAGGAGACGGTGCTGCCCATCTCCTGTATCAGTTTCCCTCTGTCACCTCTTAAGACTCCCGCGGGACGATATGGGGTAGTGGATTGTCATACACCATCACCATACAGCATCATAACTACATCACGTTATGATGTTGTGTTTATATGTGGTAGAGCTGCAAGCTGCAGCTATATGACGGTTGCAGCACGAATTGGTCGACTCGACCAGGGAAGGACCACGCTCGTACAGACTCATCATTTCAGCCCTTCATAAGTCCACTGCTGAACATAGGCCTCCCCCAAGGAATGCCACAAAGCACGGGCCTGAGCCACCGGGATCCCACTCATCACTATCTAGTGGAGGGCCGCCCCAAACTGCTTACTGGTACGAGGCTACCACTCACGAAGCTTTCTTCCCCATCGTTTGCTGGTTCTTCAAGCCTACTGCCACTTAAGCCTACTATCCGTTATGCTATGTCGGTTACTCTCATTCTACTGTGGATATCCTCATTTCTAAGTTTATCACGCAGAGAAACTCCGAGCAAAGCCCTCTCGCTCGCTGAGCGACCTAGAGCGTCCTCATACGGCCTGCAGTGGAGGACCACGCCTCAGATCCATAAGTCATCACTGGCAACACGCACTGGTTGTACAATCTTGTTTTGAGGTATACCCGACGAGAAGATGTGTCGTAGCTTCCCGAACGCTGCCCAGCCGAGTTGAAACCGTCGATTGACCTCTCGGTCGAAGTTGGACTTACCTAGTCGAAATATATGTCCCAAGAAACATACTCGTCAAGAACTTCGAGCTTAGTGCTCCCAACAACTACCGGCATAGGTGTGACATGGACGTTAAACATGATCTTTGTTTTGTCCATGTTCATCTTAAGACCTATCTGTTGGGAGACACTATTGAGGTCATTGAGCATGGTGCTTAGGTCCTCCAGCGATTCTGCCATAAGGATTATATCGTCGGCAAATCGAAGGTGAGTTATGTATTCGCCATTGATGTTAAAACCGTATCCTTTCCAGTCCAGTAGTTTAAAAACGTCTTCCAATGCAGTGGTGAAGAGTTTCGGGGTTATAACGTCACCCTGTCTTACACCTCTCTGCAGTTGGATAGGTTTCGTACTCTGGTTCTGTACTCTGATAGCCATCGTAGCTCTACTGTACAAACACTTCAGCACTTCGATATACCTACCGACAGTCCACTTGGCACCGCTGAAGGGAGGGACTGTAGCACCGCCCAAACTTCGACGGAATCAAAGGCTTTCTCATAGTCCACATACGCAAGACAAAGTGGCAGATTATACTCTTCTGTCTTCTGTACAATTTGCCGAAGGGTGCATATGTGGTCCATGGTACTATAGCCTTTTCGGAAAGTAGCTTGTTCGAGAGCCTGAAAGTCGTCAAGTCTGCGCGCGAGACGATTCGTAATGACTCTCGAAAACAGCACGTAGACGCGGCTCAGAAGGAAAATCGGTCTTTAGTTCTTCAGGAGCGTTGTCGCCTTTCTTGAAGAACAAGTCCACCGCACTTCTGCTCCACGCCTCCGGAGTAGTGCCACCATGGGGGACGGAATTAAGAGCTTCTCAAGGACTTCCAAGTACCGGTTTTCCACACGCTTTCAGAAGCTCTGCTGTAATTCCATCCTCACCTGGGGCCTTGCCGTTTTTAAGGTGCTGGAGAGCCATTCTATTCTCGCTCTGACTAACGTCCGGGATATCTTCGGAATAGTATACTTTGGACTAGAGCACGAGGGGGACAGAGCGTTGACTTCATTATACGAGACCTCTCTAACTTAACGTTTAATTTCAGTGTGCCTCTAACCATTCGGTGATCGCTACTAGTTTCCACCCTCGCGATCACTGAGACATCACTGAACAGTTGTCGTCTGGTCGTCATAATGAAGTCAATCTCATTTTTTGTCGAACTGTCGGGGCTCGACCAGATCCACTTCCTGTGGGGTCGCTTCTGGAAGAAAGAGTTCATCATAGAGAGTCCCTCTTTCTCCATGAAGTCGGCCAGCTGCTGGCCCTTTAGGTTCCGTTGCCCTATTCCAAATTTCCCTACTTTCAGCTCACCGCTCTCTTGTGCCTAGTTTTGCATTGAAGTCTCCCATTAACACTATAGTGGGTTTTGGAGGAATGCATGGCTCTAGATATATACATTTCTTTCACCTCCTCATCGGGATGTGCCGAGGTTGGTGCGTAAACCTGTATGATACTCAACATACCGTTTGGTGATTCTGAGTATAAGGTACGCAACCCTCGTCGACACACTCACAATCTTTACAACGTTGTTAACGAGAGACTTGTGGACGATAAATCCGAGCCGTCTCTTCGTAATCTTCATCATGAGGGTATATTTGTCATAATTGCCACGCGTGGCGAGCGGGTTGGCAACCGCAGTTTTTTATTGTGATATTGCTGTTATCAGGAAGAAGCTGTTGCCTGTTTCCCACTGTCGTCACTTACGACACCCACGGGAAGATATTGGGTAATGAATATTCTTAACCGCCACTACACGGCCAGAATACCAGCGTGAAATGGCAGCTTAATGCTGCCGTGTTTCGTATGGTGAGTGTAGAGAAACGAAGACCCTTTTCCCTGGAGAAAAGGCATTCAATCTCAGTTCTCAGGGGTGACAACGCATCTGCAATTTGATTCTTAATTGAGTACTAGCTGTTCCGCGCGATCTCGCCCGCGTATATTTTAGGGTTTTAATTATTTTGCACGGAACTCTAATTCTTTTTCTAAAATATAAGTAACCCAAGTTACTCTTTATAACATTAGCTATATGCTAGTGAAATTCCCGTCGAAATCGGTCCAGCCGTTTCGGAGATTAGCCGGAACATACAGACAGACAAACAAAAATTTTAAAAATTGTGTTTTTGTTGATGTACCGTTTAAACTTTCATATGAATTTAGTAAAAAAAGCTGTTATTTTGACATTACAAACAGACACTTCAATTTTATTTATTTGTATAGATAAGGATCCTTAATAGATGTCTATGAGACACATTAGTAATACTAGTGTATAACTACAAACCATAAGTTAACTTACCATCAGGTGAAATATGTGCTCTTATGTCACCCTTATTCTATAAAGAAAATTAAGGAATATCTTTCAGATCCACACCGGCTTGTAACCACTCAAGTGTGAGGTATGCGAGAAATGCTTTAAGGTTCCCCATGAGAAGCGGCTCCACTTTAGAGCCTATTTACACTTCGACAAGTACAGTAGCTAGTTCAGTTACAGGGCAGTTGACAGTAAACGGTTAAGTGGACAGTAGCGTTCAAAAGTCTTCGTGGCGAGTTTAATTTTAAAAAAAATTTACAATTTTATATTTTGAGGATCGAACACGAACACGTTGCATCCTGTCAACTTATGCACTGAACCATATACAGTAATCTATGCACTGAACTAAACTCGCCCGTTCACACGAGTAGCGAGTTTAGTTGGCGGGTGGCGAGAGATGTGTGGGAGGGCAACACTTCGAACTTACTCGCCGAAAAATAGACCGGCTGCCTATCCCGTGCAACTTAATTGATAGTTTATTACTTAACTCACTAATTGCAGTTCAAACGAAATTTTTACTGAACTCGACAGGTTCGCAAGTTAACTCGCTACTGTACTTGTCAAAGTGTAAATCGGTCTTTACACACGTTCATTTGAAGAAGCCGTGGCCGAAACGCTCGAGAAAGAAGTCTACGAAGTCGCGACATGTTAGTGTTGTTACTTACTGAGTGAGTAAAGTTTAAGATTAAGATGGGATATCGATGTATACTTCCACCCAAACAGCAAGTATATAATTACGTCGTCCAAAGCCGCTAAGCTTCTTCGGTGAGGTTCTCAATAATCGCAGATGTTATATGTTCAGCAGTAGGTATATGTTCCTGTAATCGTTTTAATAATTAACTGTTATTAATTTTATTTAAAAACGACTATATCAAATGTACAAGTATGATTGTTAAACAAAATGGTAATATTAGATTATTTTTTATTCCAATCAAAAAAGCTTGACATTAATTTGTCTTAATGATTTCAAATAACGGTATCAACAAACTTGTTTAGAAAACGGTTTTTTGATTTATATGTAAATGCCGCGCTTTGTGAAACGGTCGGAGTTAGGCACACACATTTATTTAAATTGCTTTTCTATTCCTATGTGGAGCTGGAAAAAAGTTTGATGAAAAAATGGCCTAAAGCTACCAGAGAACATGACATCAAACAAAACAATTGATTTAAAAACAAAAGTAACTCTGTTACTTTTGTTTTTAAATCAATCAATCATGTAGGCGGCTTTTAAAGCGACTTTGATAGCCAAAACCATATCCGGAGCATTATTGCAGTGCAGCTATATTATGGTTATAGCACGAATGGGTCGGTTCGACGGGACGGGGAAAAGACCACGCTCTTACAGAATATCAGCGTGACATAGCAGCTTAATGCTGCTTTGTTTCATATGGTGAGTGTAGAGAACCGGACACCCTTTTTAGGGTTCCGTACCGAAAGGGTAACCAACGTATTATATTTGTACCAATATGTGAAAACTTTGGTGTTCAGTAAAAGGAGTTTTAAAGATTCTTTAGTTTTAGTAAAGGAATTTAAACATTGTATTAGATTTAAGAAATAGTTTGTGTAATTAATTATTTGTAAGGAAAAATGTAAATAAATGTTTGAGAAAACCATTTTGTTATTATTATTTTATTATCCTTATATCTATACAAATAAATAAAATTGAAGTGTCTGTTTGTAATGTCAAAATCAGGGCTCGGAACCGGTTTAAAAAGAGCGGTTATTTTCGATCAATTACCGGTAAATTCTAAGCTCCTTCAATTACCGGTTAAAAAATTATCCGGTTATTATTTAACCTAAACGATAAAGGTTACCGGTTACGTAATGGTTTTGACACCCAAATTAACCGGTTAGTTCCGTAAAACGTAAAGGCAGTTATGAATATGGCAGGTAGATTCACGTTGTGAGGTGCTTATGCGGCATCGCCGCATGCGGGCATACTTATCATCAATTATCTGCCTTTAAGCGATACGTTTTTTCAGTCGCGAATCGCGATCAGGGTGTCGGTGGGTGTATGGCGTTTACGAAAAACGTGAAAGTATTAGAGAAGTTTTGAAGAAAGAAAGGCAGTTATTGTGTTTGGTTTCTTAATTTATTCGTTAAGACTGGATTTGTCTCATAACGAAGAATATAATGTATTCTTATGTTTCGGTTGTTTATTTATGATAGGCAGGAAAAAAGTAAATAGAATTTATACCATGTTTACGTTTTAACAGTGGTAGAGCCACGTGGCAACTTTTGCTGTCGCATGCATGTGCCAGCTCGAACCAGGGTAGTACCACGACCTCATAGAATACCAGAGTGAAGTAGAAGTTTGCTTTTGCGTTTCGCTTGGTAAATGTAGGTGATCGGAGGCCCAATTCCCTCCCCCCCCTTAAATATGGTAGCGGAATCAAATAAAAAACTACCAAAGGAGGGTATTAGCATCCTAGTAACGGAGAATCCTTCGCTGAGAACCCACGCCCAAGCTATCCTACTGTTCCTGAGCGTGGGTGCTCAAGCTGCCCCGCGTATTCTGGTATTATGGGGAAGGGGGGGGGGGGGGTTCGCAGAGATCGTGATCCTTGGCGATTTTAACGACCATCACGCCGAATGGCTCGGTTCACATTTAACCGATCATGTGGGGAGATTTGTTTATGACTTTGCCTTGGCATATGGTCGTACTACACAGCTGGCAACTTCATGTACCTTCCCTGTTGGAACTTCATATTATGAGAAGTGAAGTTGATACTATTCCCAATCTGAAACTTTTCTTGTACAACTTAGAAATAACTGCTTTTTGTTCCACATCTTGTCGTAAAACGACCACACTATAGCTTTTTCGGATCTCTCTCTCCCTCTCTCTCTCTCTCATTTCAAACACGTAGGTGATAACAATCAGCCTTAAATAAACATATCGCAGATACATCAGCTAAACTTGTGCTTGTCTTAACTTTAAATTTCTCACTCGTATAACTCGTATTGATACAAGCCACTCGAGTGGTCACAGAGTACTTTTTTATATGCGAGTGGTTGAGTGACTCGTAATCCGAGTTGTAATATATATTACTTGAGTTTGAGTGCGAATAAAATAAAAGCTACTCAAGTGAAACATACGCAGTATCCTCTTAGTAGTATGTGAGTGAAACAGCTCGAGTCGAGTCAGGCTCAGAAGGACTAGAACCCAGAGCCGTAAAGCCAGTTTAAAAAAAATCGGGTCGAGTCCTATCACTAGCCTGTGTCAAAACTAAAAACTTGATAATACCATCGCCAATTGTCAGCTGCCTGCTGGCTCAAGTTGCCGTCAAAATCTCCCAAAGGCTGCACAATATTACGCATCACCATATTGTGAAGCAATGAACTATGAAGGATAATTATACATAAAGATAAGGCTGTATGGCAAAGTTCCTTTGCCTGCTCTCTCGAGCAAATAATAAAAACAACAACAATAAAAACTTGATGTTGACTTTTGACTATTGACTCTAATATGCTCAAATAAAACTTTCACTTGATTGCACTTTTCTTATTTTGTTCTTAATTTTAAGACTAAAAAGCTTTTAAAATGGTAATATCATAATATTTATTGTATGTATAAAAGAACCTATGTAGTACCTATAGTATTATAAATAATTTTATACTTGTTTCAGGCTCGCTATTTCAAGGAACAGGATATTGATGGTAAGATTACAAATTCTGTAATGTCATATTAATTACGAGTTGGTAAATTGTAATGAGTAAATAAATCATAAAGTATCATGATTATTTGTTCAGTTATTGTACAGTTTGAAATTAAGAAATTACATACATATTTATAATCATACTTACATTTGCCTTTATTCAATCCGATATTGCCACGCAGAAATGAAATATTAGTTATAAAGAACTTTAGCGTATCTAGAAAGTGAAATCATCCTTATAAAACTATGCCAAAGCACATAGTATGTTCCCACAACTTTTGTATTTAAATATTATTATATGCCAAGATTTTTTTTCTTGCTTTCAGAATTCAGGGAATGCTTTTATCTATTTGCACGCTCTGGTCAGATTACGTCCCTAGATGAATTGACAGTGGTCATGCGTTCACTGGGCATGAGTCCTACTATTCAGGAACTTACAGGTATATTACATATTCAATATTATAATATAAGGTTGTTTAATTTTTTTATTTAACTTATTCTTTTTCTTTTTTTGAATTGAAATTGAAAGATTGCAAGCTCTATATTAATAAAATAATAATCTTTATATGCATAAAACATGGTATAAATGTTGTTAACATGTAAAAATAAGCACTCATGGTTTGCTTATTTTACATAGTATGCAAATTTTTTATTTCTTTTGGCGTTGGTTAATTCCATAAAGTTTGTTTTTAGATTAATTTAGAGTCATGTGTTACATAGTAATCGGCTATGCAATATGAATAAAAGTGTTATATTAAATTGATAGTTATTTTAGATGAAAATATATTTTGGCTCTTGTGGTAAGAAATAAGATTCATTAAGGCTGATAAGAATAGCATAATATGTAAACACATAACATTTCACAAAGAACAGAGATAGTTGTAATTTAGACAAGGAAAGCACTAGCCTCCTACAGATATCATGAAGGTTGTGTAGGAATTGGTTGTTCATGTTGTGTGGGATCTAAACAGGGTTCAAATAATATAAAATAAAAATTCAAGTTAAACTTTATTAATTTGTGAAAATTTCAAAATAAGTAATAAATGTTTCAGGTTTATTGTGTGTGTATAAAATCAGTGTTGTGTTAAAAGTGTCTAAATTTGTGCTTAAAATAGTGTAATAATAATAGATATTGAGGTTGAATTGAAATGTAGAGTACCTTTTAAACTTATTATAAAAAAAAGGATTTGCTAAAAGTAAGTTAAAAGCTGATAAATCTGAGAAAAACTTACGATATTATAATAAAGTACGGAATTGCTGCAATACATTGTGTAGGGATGCACAAAGACGCCATATTCATAAATCCGTCGAAAACGGCGACGCAGCCAAAATTTGGAAGTTTCTTCAGTCTCTTGGAGTTGGTAAAACATCCAATAATTCTCCTCATCATAATGTTGATGTTGAATTCCTTAACAAATACTTTACCTGTTCTAGCACATTAGATAGCTCAGATAAAGATCGGACTCTGAGTATTCTTTCTTCAATACCAACTCCTGATTTTCCACCATTTAATTTCTCTCCTTTCACTGATAGTGATGTTAAAAAGAACATTTTGTCCATCTCGTCCAATGCCGTGGGTGATGACAATGTTAGTCGTAACATGATCTTACCTATCCTAGAATTTGTTACTCCTATCCTTACCCATATCTTGAATAAATCCATCTCCTCTTCAAAATTTCCTGATGTTTGGAAAAGTGCACTTGTAACGCCTCTCCCAAAAAAACCCCATGCTTTGCATTTTTCCGACTTTCGTCCTATCTCAATTCTCCCGTTTTTATCCAAACTCCTGGAGAAACTAGTTTTCTTTCAGTTAAATCTCTACCTAAATAGAAATTGTATCCTGGATCCTCTCCAATCTGGTTTCTGATCGGGTCATAGTACGACAACAGCTTTGGTTAAAGTTACTGATGACATTCGACGAGGTATGGATAACAAACAGCTCACTGTGTTAGTATTGCTTGATTTTAGCAATGCGTTTAACACTGTTGATTTTGACATCTTATTGAGTGTGTTACATTCTATTAACATATCTCCTCCGGTGATTAGCTGGTTTCATAGTTATCTTTACGGCCGACGGCAGCGTGTTCGCATCGAAGATGAGTTCTCATCTTGGTGCGAATTACAGGCTGGAGTGCCTCAGGGTGGTGTGCTGTATCCTTTACTTTTTGCTATATTCATTAATTCTATCTCTCAAAATATTACTTCTCTCTATCACATGTATGCAGACGATCTCCAAATCTACACTCAGTCAACTCTGTTAAATCTGCCTTCTGCTGTTGCCACCATCAACAATGACCTAGCGGCGATAAACCAGTGGAGTCAGCGTTATGGTCTAAAAATTAATCCATTCAAGTCCCAGGCTATAGTTATTGGTGGTGGAGGGATGGTCTCCAGAGTTGACTGGAACAACCTATCCTCGGTGACACTAAATGACGTTGTCATACCCTACAGTAAATCTGTAAAAAATCTGGGAATATATCTAGATTCTACCTTGTCGTGGTCGCAGCAGTTAAAACAAGTGAGCAAAAAGGTGTTTGCTACTATGGGTTTACTTCGTCGTTTACGTTCTTTTCTCCCCATTCCCACTAAGATTATGTTAGCACAATCCTTACTTCTCTCTATTCTCGATTATGCGGACGCAAGTTATCTCGATTTAACTGAAGACCAACTGAACAAACTTGAGCGAATTCAAAATATTGCTATTAGGTTCATATTTGGTTTGCGTAAATATGATCATGTATCCGAATATCGTTTACAGCTCAAGTGGTTACTCATTCGCTTTCGCCGGAATCTGCAAACTGTATCTCTTTTGTACTGTGTGTTGTTCAATCCTTTGACACCAAGCTACTTGAAGGAAAACTTTAAGTTTCTTGGTCATGATCGACCTGATAGAGTTCTTCGGTCAGCCGGCGAACTAATTCTAGAACCATGTTCATTTCGAACAAAATTTATGAAATATTCTTTTACGAGCCAAGCCATAAGGTTATGGAATGAACTTCCACTCCAAATTCAACGTGCTCAAACTTTGAAAAGATTCAAAAGTGACGTCAAGAAGCATTACCTAACACTTTGTGGTTATTGATAACCAATTCTAGCAATATTTATTATCTTTGTATATATATGTATGTGTATATATTTATATATATATATATATATATATATATATATATATATATATATATATATATATATATATATACCTATTTATTAATATGTATGTTTATTTTATTATTATTTTTTATGTATTATTGTGGTATTTTAACAAAATATAGTTTAGTTTATTTAGATATTAGTATGTAAGTGTAACATAAAGCGCACCACCTCCTACTGTTCTTAATTCCAGTTTCTCTTTAGCCCAAAGGTTGTCTGGAAGAGATCGCTCTTTAGCGATAAGACCGCCTTATTGTACATATGTATATATTAAGTTTTCTCTGTAATGTATTTATTCGTTGTATATGTGTGGTGTACAATAAAGTATATACTACTACTACTACTACCTTTAGATTGTGAATTGGAGGTACAGTATTAGTTAAGATATTCATGTTTGTTGGTAAAGATTGTTATTTTAGCCATGTGTGTCTGATATTTAAGATTTCTAACTTAGAAAATGTTCTGTAAAATAGGTATATTTTGTTGAATATCTTAATATGTTTTTATGTGATAACGATGTAATGTATGTCACAATAAAAAAACTTTTGTGTGATTCTTATAAATAAAATTGTGTAAGCATATGTATAGAAATAAAGATATGGGGTAAAATACAAGGGTGCAATTATGAAAATTAATGTTAAGATTTGTCGAAATGGTGCGCAGTGCCCAGTTCTCTTTCGCATATAGCTTGCAACTAGAATAGTAAACTGGTAATTTGGCAATTGTTTCGGGACCAGCTACCAGTTTTATAATATAAAGTAAGAAAGAAGACAATAAGGATGTGATAGGAAAGTAGTAAAAGTTTCAACATTGCACTCTTATGGGGAAATTACGAAGATAAAATTACTGTTTCATTTCCTACTGCACCTTCCAAATTAGATCAATATACAGTCCACTACGTAAGATCAGGACCGTGACCACTCCAAGAGGGACCCGTAATCTTAGTCATCTAACCTTTCTTTTCAGAAAGGGCAACAGACGTTCTTGTGTGACACTCCTTCATAAGGGTCACGTCCACCTCGTTGTTCCCGAATCCAACGTGGTGTGATTTTAGTTTCTGGGTAGAATGTCTATGACTGACTAACCCCTGTCTGTTGGTTCCTTTCAATTTTCTAAGCTATATGAATTATAATTAGTCACATAATTTAATTAAAAATAAAATATAGAGAATTATATTATGATAATAAGTATATGACGGCCTTTACAATAAGAAATTATTATTCACCTTCATGCTTTAGAGATGTATGGGTCAAGATGGACACGAATCTGGGGACAAGCATAACCTGCATTATTGATTGATGTGTATCCAACCATAAATTGAATCCAGAACCGACAGTACTGACTACTCTGAAAGGAGTTACAGGACACACGCACTCTGCTGGAGCACAGAGTACCTTATTAAAGGTACAATTCCGTAGCCGACTGCAGGCAGCAGCAGCAGGCGACTTGTCGCCGCGATATGTCGACGCGACATGTCGATGCGACATGTCGACGCGACATGTCTTTGTGTCGTGTCGCTGCAGTCATGATTCCGAACCCGACTGCAGACGGCAGCAGCCCGTGTTCCAATCTGTTCCGAATGTTCTGTGGGTTCTCTGTTTATGTAAAAAAAATAGGTACTTACCGCTTTTATTTAACTCTTTTCCTATATTTTATCAAATATTATCTTTTATCACATTGTTTAAATAATTATTTTGAGATGCATCGTACAGTGCGGTATATTAGGCCACCTGGTTTATCAGTTTCTTTTCCTCGGAATCGGTGCAACTCATTTTTTGAGAAAAATTCAACGTGTCGCTTAGGCGTTGGCAGCACTACTGATTTGCGGTCGAGCTACAGTGTCGTCTGCCGCTTGGCCCGTAGCGGCAAACGACGTGTCGCTAGCTACGGAAGGTATTTCATAGAACTACACAGACACCAGTAGTGTCGCGACGACACGTCGCCTGCTGCTGCTGCCTGCAGTCGGCTACGGAATTGTACCTTAATGCTGGTACTGGGCCAATGAGCAGCAGCTCCAATTGGAATAAACTGCGGACATGTTACAGCAGGTTGAAGTGGGACATACCACTTAGTACTGATCAACATTAAGATTGATTTGTGCCGTATTCTTTGAAATAAATAAATTACCAGTAACCCTATAATGCATTGCCTTTTGAAAATTGTTTATAAATAGGACTTTTATTAATTTGGTTTATTGTATTAATTTGATTTAATAAAGGGCGGAATAGAGTGTCAGGAGTTTCTAGAGCGCCTTGCACTTTGCGTATCTACCCGACACACTCGACAAACACCCTTATTCAACATTCCATTTCATCCCACTGTGTATGGGAGAGTAATTCAGCGATGTCGTAAACTATACAACATGGATTGGTATAATCTTAACCCGTTGTAATGTAACAAAAGTGTGTTATAAGCTTAAAAGAGCTAACGGTTTAGGGCCAGCAACATGGTAGCCAAACAAGCTGATGATTTTAGACCTTTTGATTTCACCAAAATATTATATATATGGGAAGTGGTACCCATTGTAAAAATTTACCATGATCTGTGTGTTAGTTTTTATTTACTTCCCATTTTGTAGTTTTTATAATAGTCCTTATTTTAGCACTTATAGAGTTCTTTTTGTTGTTGGTGTTTAATGTGTTTGTATGTGTGAAATGATATTGTCAAACACCAATATTTCTCTTTTTCAGGTTATCTAAAGGGTAAAGGTGGCAAAATGTCGTTTGCTGATTTTTTAGAAGTAATGCATATACATTCCCGAGCCGAAAATCTACCCAATGAGGTAACTATTTTGTAATTGTATTTCACTAAGTAATAATTTTTATTGAATTTGCCTGTATTAACGCAGATATAATATAAAATAAATCTATGTTTTACAAACACAGAGTCCAGAATCAAAGCATGGTAACTAGAAGCTGTGGCCCATAGACCTCTCAATTTGTTTATTTAACTAATTTTTTAATCCCGTCATGAGCACAACTCAGGTTAAGTGCATGTGCCCTATACACCCATATTTTGTAATTACTTTTAATTTGTATTATATATTATATACCTACCTATATGTTATATTATTACATGTTAGCAGTAATCTTACCTGTGTAAAATAATTAAGCATTGTTGCTTTCTTCTTCGTGGCCTTCACTATGAACTCTTATATAACATCATTTCTATGTTCTATAAACTTTTCTTTATTTTTTAGATTTTCTTTAGCCGTTTACCAAATTTCGTTGGCTTTTTTTGCACAGTTGCGCTGGTAAGTCAGCAAAGCAAGTGAGAACCCATATAGGTGAAGAACAGCTTATTATGCAAATCTCCCTCTTTTGAGGACATTACAATATTTTTATTTAAATAAAAAATAATGTTACGTAACGCGTTGTTCGAACCCCCCTCCCGCTCCTGTAACGCCTCGTAACGTTTTACAAGACCCCCCCCCCCCCCATAAATTGCGTTACGTAATACTTGAACGCCCCCTTTGCTAGGTAACAGGGAACACAGAAGCAGGAACATATAATGTAGATAAAATATAGTCTTCTTCCCTACATTTTAGGTTAGGTTAGTCATTTTGAACATGCCGTCATTGTTTTTCTGTATTTGGTTCTTGGACATAAGTGACATCTTTATAAAGGCCATCTACCGACGTCAAAAGAGTATTCTTGGGTCTCTTTCTGAATCTTTATATTTATTGTAAAGGTGTTGATATGTTAGATCATTGTTTGACGAAGCTTGACCAAATTGACAGCCAGGTGCTTCAGAAATACCCCGATATTTATCTTTTCAACAACTCAGTAAAATGTTTTGTGAATACATTCAAGTCGAATCTTTGATTTACCAGGTGGTGAATGCGTTCAGAGCTGGAGACCCGGAGAAGAAAGGCGTGGTGCCGGCCAAGCAACTGCGTAATTTACTACAGAACTGGGGAGAGGGACTGTCACAGCGCGAGGTAATATATAAGAACTATAAGAACAACCTATAAACGTCCTGCTTGTAGGGTGCTTCACGCTTTAAGGGAACTAAACAGCAACGAATCGTTCCGCCCGACCGGTGGAAGGACTAGCATAGTCCTTCGCGAGAGAATACCATCGAGAAATAGCAACATGATGGTATTATTTCGTATGACGAGTGATGAAGACCGGAGTCTTTTTTTACGGTTCCGTACACGAAGGGTAACCAACGGGACCCTAATACTAAGCCTCCGTTGTCCATCAGCGGGCTGTACCTCATGATTTGTAATAGGTAGACAGTTGAAATTTTCACAGAATCTGTATTTCTGTTGCCTCTATAACAACAAATAATAAATAAAGCTACTAGAAACGTGTTTTACGATGGTACGGAAACATTCACGCGCGAGTCCGACTCGCATTTGGCCGGGTTTTATTAGTAACGAGATATTTTGTCTTGTCCTTGTAGTTGTCCTTGAGTCACAATATATATTTGTCATTAGGTGAACTGCATGCTCCTTTGACACTTACATCTATAAACTGGAGAACATCTAGAGGCGTATATTTTATCTTTTCTACTGACTTCAAAAAGGAGGAGGTATTCAATTGGACTGTATGTCTTTTTTTACGTGTGTTACCTCATAACTTTTTTCTGTGTAAGGTCTGACCAATAGTTCTTAATAATTTTTATTAAAGTCTGTTGTACAAAATTTTAAATTATAATAATTTCAGGTCGACAACATATTCCGCGAAGCAAACGTTTCCAATAATGGCACAGTTCGGTACGAGGACTTTGTGAAGATAGCCTGTGCTCCTGTCCCAGATTATTATTAAAATGATATTAAATTGTCAAATAATAAAATTGGCGTAAATTAACGAGACTGTAAATCGGCATTCCAATATTTTTATAATTATATTATAAAAATATTTAATATTGAAATAAACTATTTATTAAAAATTAACTAGCTTTTATTCTATTATTTATAAATAAAATTTAAGTGTTTGTCTGTAATAACGAAATGATTGTCTTTTATTGAACGCAGGGGGTTGTTCTCATGCTATAAAAGTATTTTCTGTTCAGGCTAACCTTTGCAGTGGCTGAATCGATTGTATATAATCACTATGTAAACAACATATTTGTGATAAAACATCTAAAGTCATTGTTTATTAACTAATTGTAAGGAGAGAATATTTCAATAAAACATATTAAAAATTCAAACCTTGTTTATTTCCAAACATAACAACTCTATATAAACTTGATATGGCACTAGTTGTGGTGTGGTCCGTTTGCTAAAATTGTATTAAAAGTTTAATTGCAAAAAATACACAATACAAATACATTACAAATAATTAATACCCGGCCGTAAAAATACGATTTATAGAAGGGCGGATAAAAAATAATAGTCTTTGTAGATATCATCATCTCTGTCACATCTAACCGTTCACTCTACATATATTAAGAGTAATTGTAAAACAATCATATGCTTTGTGAATTAGTAAAATATAACCTATAAAAATACAGATTTAGAACTATTTATGGTTTACTTGGAAGTGGATACGACCAATCTCAAAAAATAAATAGCAGCAAAAATCTTGGTCCTCAAGGGTGACAATGCATCTGCATTTGGTGCCTTAATGGAGACAGACAGATATAGACATCTGTTTCTGCAGAAGTTTCTTCAATAGCACAATACTTGAGTTTTAAATACTATTTTGAATAAAATATTAAACTTGTTACATGTGAATTATTATGTTGATATCATATACAAAGACGGAGCGTGACGTGTTCGTCTCTTGCACAGTTTAAAGACAATAGTTGGGAAACGAATGTACTTGTGCTAGCGCACTTCACTGAGTCTGATAGACAATACATGCGGTTGGCGCAACATCTTTTATAGTACTTATTTAACCAATTTTAATTGTGAATTACTTTTATAGTTATATAAGTTACTAAGTAAAATTGAATTCAAATGACGTTCAGGCTTATTTTTCCCTCATTTTTTCTTGATAAAATTGTCAATCCGAATGCGTATACATTACATAATTAAATTTAACAATCGAAAACTGAAAACATCTAAAAAAGAAACTCACGAAAATATTTGGCAGTGCAATACTATTAAATGTGTTTTTTCTTGTAGTAATATAAAATGGTCTTGTTCAATAAATGTTTTTAACTTATAAGTATGTACGCAATGTTAATAAATTATAACGAGTATTACAATATCAAAAAAATAAATATATATATATATATTCGTGACAATCCTAGTATCCACGCTGACCGCGTGAACCTACGCGGTATGGAGTGTAGAGTAGAAGGAGAACCATCTTATAAAGTGTGAAAGTTGAAAAAGTGTCCCACTATAAACTGAAAATAGAGGTTCCACAATAGCGCTGGCGTCTGAAAAACTACGATATGAAGATAGCTGTTGTAGACGGAGAGAAGTAAGCTGAATTCAAATATTTAAAAAATTTCATGACTAGAGTAGTTAGTAAAATGCCAGTATACAAAACCTCAACTATTTACGTAGTACAAAACCAAGCGGATTGGTCGGTTCTTGTTTATTTCTCCATCTTATTCTAATTAATTTTGGCGCTTCTTTTTAAATTTATTCTATGCTACTGCAGCGCCACCCTTATTGCACACGTTTTTAGGGACAATTTTCATATACAGAGATGGTCCTCCTTCTACTCTACACTCCACACTACGCGGGCGGCGGCGTCGCCGGACATCAAAGGTGTTTCACAACTGTAAGGTCTTAAAACGGTCGCTTGGTTGGTATGGCTGCGCAAGTGCCTAGTGCTTACTCAGGCGGCGGTCGCAGTGCTGCCCCCGCACCTTCCTCTTCATACGTCTCTCGCTCTTACTGAGGCGTTGAAAATGTCTATGTGCAACTGCATCTACTTACCATTAGGTGGATTGTGTGCGCATTTGTCACCCTAATTCTATATAAAACTGATAAGTCGGCGACATGACGTCACGAGAGTGACAGAGACGACGTGCTACAAAGAAGCTAGTAGATTGTGACGGATAGCCTTACCAAATTTCGATGTACAAACTTTACGGCCGCGTACGATATTTTTCTCCAGTGATTTTAAAAATATTACTATTATTCTGTTAAATCTAAATCGTATGTTTACTAAACAAAATGTGTCATCCCATTGCATTCCAGTGTCGCATAATTTACAAATGTAAAAAAAAATATAATTTTACCTTTATCAAGCGTCTCTTGAGTATTATAGAACAAACATACTCATTCCCGACGTTTCGGGTGCTTTCAAATGCTTCAAAAGCTGAAGGTAGCCGTACGAACTATGACATCGGGACGTCAAACACCTCAGTCAAACCCTTGACCATAGGTGCTGGAAAGTGCCCGACACGTCGGGAATTGAAAAGTTAAAATTAAACGCGATAAAATCCGTAAAATTAGTTTTATTTTATATATACTAGCTGATACCCGTTCGCTTCGCTGGGCACACGATAATATTTTATTGCGGAACCTATAAATGTTTTTTTTTTATGGAATTATCGTAAAATCCGTTCTCATTGAACATCTACATTACGAAATGAGAGTAACTATAATAAATTTCAAGTCAATCGGGTGTATAGTTTTAGAGATCTCTTGACGAGTCAGTCAGTCGGTGGTATTTCGCTTATATATAAATTATATAGATTTGGGTAAATATAAGAAATCATTATAAATCCATATAGCTTTATATTTCTATATCCTTACAAATTTGCGTGGAAAAGTATGTTAATCTATTTATTAACATAATAATATATAGTGTAGATTGTAACATAATCTATACTATTTATTATTCATTTTTTTTATTTTTAGTGTTTCGAAATAAAAAGAATTATAGCTCTATTTTATTTCGAAACTTAGTAGAATATTTTGACCACTACCTTCTCACTTACTAACCTTTATTAAATATTGCAAAATGCTAAGAATACTTGAAAGATAAAGAGATGGAGGATGAGTTACCATTGTTGTTTGGCTTTTCTGATGACCTTGAAGTTGCAAAAAGTGATCTTGAACCAGATTTAGAATCAAAATTCTTAGATGATGGCACACTTGTTTAAGATTCGATCGTTTACCTGACGTAGAACAAGGGGCTGATCATGGTTCTTCTAGACTGGAACATAAAAGAGGGTCAACAGGAAGAATATGTTCAAGAAGAAATAGAGATACAATCACTCCTTTTTATACTTAATCGCCGACGCAACTGAGGTATACGAATTCCACAGACGAAGAATTATCATCTCCTGAACATAACGTGAACCGCGATCTGAATATAGATTTGTCCACTGAAGAATCACCATCCGCGTCAGCTCTAATGAATCAGGTGATGAAGAATCCCACTGCTGATCAGTTTACCATTACATATTATGGCATACATCCTCTTCTTTATAATCAGAAACCAGGTATACATGTATGCCTGTGTTAGCCGTCGTGAGTCAGAAACGGTTGCCAGTAATTTAGTTACGTTCGTTGCACTAACCGTGATCGTACAGACCCACTTAACAGGCGACGAATAAAAATAAATGTTACCATTAATTTGTCTTCAACAAATACAATCAGATCAGTAACAATTTGAATATAAAATATGATAATAATAATAATATTATGATATGAGGTTCATGAATTGACTATTGCTCTTTAAAAAAGGATTAAGAGCCGTGGTAGCTCAGATGGTTAGCGCTCGCTGTAAACTTCACAGTACCAGGTTGCTCGAGTACTGACTCGAGCAACCCGGGTTCGATCCCCGCCGGCACCAATGAAATTGTTAATTGCAATTTTAAGTGCTGATTTACCACGCGCTCGGCGGTGAAGGAAAACATCGTGAGGAAACCTGCATGTCTGAGAAATAAAAAAAGAAAATATTTCCAAGACATGTGAAGTTCACCAACACGCATTGGGGCAGCGCGGCGGAAATTTCCTTGCCCTAAAACCCTCTCAGAAATGAGAGGCCTGTGTCCAACAGTGGGACGTAAATTGGCTGCAACTTTACTTTACTTTTATTAATATTGGCACTGAGAACAAATGTATAAAAGGATTTTTCAATTATCATTTAAAAGGCCATTTGCATAAAAACTACATTGGCCATTTAAATTTAAGAACTTTCAAAAGAATGAAGGGCATCAGAAAAATGGATATCAACGTGAACGCTTGCAAAATCAAGAAAACGTAGTACTGGTTTTACTGTCACTAATGACTTCGATATGAGTTTCATGCTGTGATGAAGGTGTTGCTGTTCGACTGTACTCAAAGAAGAATTAAAACCATTAAGGATCATACCATACCATAACCAATCAAGGATAACGTGAGTCTTTTCGAAAACTACTTCAACACCAAAGAGTCAAAGGTCTTACTTCAACTTCAAAGAGATCCAAAGGTCGGCCACTGGGAACATTGTCATACAAAATACAAAAACTGATCCCGTACGTCAGTAACGCCATCTAGCTTTGAATAGCAAAAAACATGTTTTAAAATGATGAGGGTATCTAAGACTTTTTGCCACCAGAGCGGCGCCACTAAAAAATGAGGTGTAATATTTGACAGATTTCATAGGGAAAAAGTTATATTTTATATTAATTAGATTAAAAATAAATAAACTAAATCACCGATATACATAATAGAAGAAAAATTGAAAAAAAAAAAGAGTTAAGTTATGAGACTAAACGGTGCATTCCATCGCAAAAATGGTTCTTAGCTGCAATGACCTAAGGATCTCCTAAGTGTGCTTTGTTTGTGGTTTATACAGTGGTCCCAAATAACCGCCGGCACGACATACTCCGCCAATCGTCGAGTCCGTATACTCCGAGAGGCGTCGAGGTCACCGGCCTTTAGGCAGGTTCTTGGCACTCAAGCGCGCTCGTACACTTGTAGTGTCAGTCGCGTGCGCGAGTGCTCTCAAGCACTTCCCCCAACCCTTTCGTAACGAAAGGGGTAGGCAGTGCGCCTAAGTGTTGCGGCCACCCATCATCGCTTCCGTACAGCTACGGCATCGCGCGTCCCCTGCTGTCAGCCACGTTAGGTAGCGAAATAGATAGGACACATCAGACAATCACATACAAAACATTTGTAACTAACTGCTATGACGGGTAAGGGGAAGGGGGAGCCCCCCCCCTCGCGTTAGGAAACCCCCGGACCGTCCCGGGGTTTTTGATAGGCCGCTATTGGTGAAGGACTTGTCGAACCCGAAACGCTCGAGGAT